AAAGAGTGGAAACCCCCTTTTGTCTCTTCCCTGTTGCCCGGTGTTCACCTCATAACCTGGATTCTTGCTGAAGCATTGTGGCTCCTGTTTCCTGGGGTTCTTTCCTTCTAGAGAACCTCCTGGATGGGGTGACCTGTGAAGGACCCAGGCTTACAGGTCTATCAGCCTGCTCAGGTGGAGACAGCAACAAAGAGCAGCTTTGTGCACACACGCTCACACTCACACGCACCCAAACACGCCCCACACAAGCTCTTTCCAAGAACGGCTCTTCAAGCCTGGTTGCCAAGATAAAGGAGCCACTGGGCGGCCAGCCTCCTGGAGGAAATACCGCTCCTGTGGCCTTTGTTGTTCAAAGAGCTTTGCGAAATCTCCAGACTCCTCTTGGAAAGGATCCCAGGCTGAGGTGGCAGTGTCCCGCAGCTGGAGACGGGCAGGGCCTGCCCAGCCTCCCTTCTGGGCCTGGAAGGGAGAGGAGACCCTGGGGCCAGGCTTGGAGTCATTAGTGGCAGCAGTGGCTTAACCCCTCATGTTCATTGTTATCTCACTCAATTCCCACAAACCTGGGGGTCCGGGAAGGTCTTCCCTTTTTACAGATGATGAAACAGGTTCGTGGAAGCTTATTAAACGAATCACTGTGAGTCAGTGCTAGAAATGAAACGGGCTTGACCGCAGCCCTGGGAGGAACCCAGTCCTGCCCCAAATTGAGTTCTGTCCTGATCCCATCCTGAGCTCCAAGTCTAGCCTCTAACAGAGCCGTGACTTGCCCTGCATTGATCCCCGATCCTATGTAACCTCAGGCTGCCTCCCCTGTCTGCTGTAATCCCTTTGAGTTCAGAGGCTTGTGTGCTCCGCATTCACCCCGCAGCTTTACATTTATGTACAGGCAATTATTCCAGTAATCTCCGTTTTACTTGCTAGACTAAATAAGGACTGAGTCTATTTTTGTTTGCTAGCACTTATAAGAGTGTAATAATAACACTAATAACAAGCATTTATTGAGCCAGTGTGGTGGCACACACATGTAATCCCAGGGACTCAGGAGGCTGAGGCAGAAGGGTTGCAAGTTCAAGGCCAGCCTCAGCAAGTTAGTGAGGCCTTAAGTAACTTAGCAAGACCCTGTCTCAAAAAAAGGACTCAGGATGTAGCTCAGCAATAAAGTGCCCCTGGGTTCAATCTCCAGTATCAAATCAAACCAAACCAAAATCATTTATTGAGCATTTATTATATGCCAAGCTTGTGCTGAGTGTTTTACAGATGTTATCTCATTTAATGGTCACAAAGTACTCTGATATAGGTACTATCATTAGTTCTGTTTCACAGATGAGAATACTGAGCCCCATGGTGCTATTAGAAAGTACAGTGTGCTCTTAGTGGTTCCCTGAACCATCACACTCAGCTGTCTGGTGAGGTTTGGGCCAGAGAGGGAAGCCCCAGCTAGGAGAGGAAATGATGGCATTGGGGTAGAAAGCCACAGAAAGGCCTAGTGAGTAGCCTGAAGGAGACTGTGATGAAAGAGACTACAATAAGGGAGTGGGACCAGCTGTACAATTTGTAAGGCCCAGCACAAAATGAAAATTTGGGGCCCCTTGTTAAAAAATGAAAGATTTCAAGATGGTGGCCTCAGAATATTACAGGGCCCTCTGAACCCAGGGCCCTGGGCAAACCTTCATGGGGACCCATGAAAGTGGCCCTGGCAGGGAACGGACTATGTATGAGGCATTGGGCTCAGGGCAGCACATCCAGATAGATAAATAGGAGTGGCCGTGCGTGTTCAAGTGGCAGCAGGGCTGGCACTGGACCCTTGTCTGGCCATCGGGCCAATATCTTCACAAGCACAGCAGCAATCACTGAGTATCTCTCGGGCCAGAGGTGGCCTGTCTCTTGAGAGGCCTGTCTAGAAGGGGGAGTCTGAGCCTTTGGTTGGCTGTCTGGAGTGTGAGTAAGCCAGGAAGAATGCATGCGTGGGGTGGGGCAGGTATGTGGGGAGCATCCAGGTGGCAGGCAGGTGGTGGGTTGCCTGTCTGACATTTGAAGGGTGTGTGCATGAGTGTGAGAGACAGGAAGGCAGGTACCCTGGGACTTGTGGTCTAGTGCAGAAGCCAGCATGGCCCATGTGTATGAGAGATTATGTGTGTTGTGGGGTGGGGTGGGGTGCATGTGTGTAATTAGGAGTGTGTCAGTGTGTGCGAGGATGCATGCGTATCCCCCACTTGCCCTCCTAGGCCATGGCCCCTGCCACCTTCCCTGATGTGAGGGGCTACCAGGCAAAGAGGTCCTGAGCCTGTCCCAGCCCAGGGCCCCCAGGCTTTTGTGGGACAGGTCCTCTTAGAGGCACATTCCTGCCTGTCATAGAGTGGGCAGAGCCACAGAGCCGCCTCCTAGGCTGCTGGGGTGATCCTGGCCAGTGGTGTCAGGTTCCTGGGTGCAGGAGCCCTCCCTCTGCAGTCTCTGAGGGCCTTTGTTGGAAGTTCAGACAAACTTGTCAGGGGGGCGGGCAGGAGGCCTCCTAATCGGCTTTCCCAGAAGCAAAAGGAGAATGAGAGATTAGGGGTGGGGGGCTCCAGCCCAGGGCAGCTCTGTGGGAAAGAGATGGGGAAGGGGTGCCCGCCCTAGAGGGATCCATCCCCTGGGGCCTTCAGCAGGTGTCCCTAAGGGCCCCCAAGGAACCAGACCCCTAGGTTGAAAGAACATGAGGTCAACGCCTGGTTAAAGGGGGAGAAGCTTTGGAGAGAGTCCTCTTGCCTTTCTCATCTCACCGCCATGGGCTGCCTGGGCACTTACTGCATGCAGGACACATTACTGCTCACCTTCTAGGCCTCCCCCCACAACAGCTCCTCTTTATCTTATCTGAGCCTCCCAGGAAGCAAGCAGGCTAGACATGGTTAATGGTTCCCATTCCACAGAAGAGAAAATTGAGGACAGGAAAGGGGCCCACAGTAAATAGCAAATGGGACTTGGCTTGTCCTGACTCCATCAATAAAATGCTCTGCATCCCAGCCAGCATTTCCTGGAGGTCCTGACCTCAGGCTTCTCTCTGTGTGACCTCATCTAGTAAAAGTGGATTTTTTTTTTTTTGCATTGTCACTATTGACAACCACCAAGTTCAAAAGCGTGGTTTCCAAGGTTAGCCAGGCCCATACCTTGGTTGACCCATGACTAGTTTGTGGTTTGAGCCAAGCTATTTAACCACTCTGTTCCTCTGTTTCCCCATTTTTTTTTTGTTTCCCCATTTGTTAAATGGAAATAACAACAGTGCCTACCTCACAGAGTTGCATGAAGATTAAATGACTTATTTATAAGGTAGCAGGCCAAGAGAAAGTGCTACATACGTATTTGTCAACTTAATACCACAGCAGAGGCTCAACATCTACCCCGGAATAAATCGAAGACTCCTCAAATACACCAAACAAGACGGACTACCTGAGCTCAGGGGCATTCCCAGACACTCACCCCAGCCCCAACAACGCAGAGGGCTCCATCCACTTTGTAGCTCAGCCAGAGATTGGGGAGCACCCTTGACCCCTCCCATCCTTCAGTCACAATGGTGATTTTGCCTCTTACATCTCTCCTCAGTGTGGCCCCATCCCTTCCCCCCACCAAGTCCAGAAGATGCCACCTTCCTCACCAGGATGTGAGTGTTCTCCCCTGATTCCCTGTTGCCAGCTCCTTTGCACAAACCACCAAGCAACAAAGTCAGGGGTGGGGTGACTGAAACGCAAGTCTGATGGCTCCCCTTCCCCGCTGGGCATCACTTTCAGTGCCCCCAGGTCCTGGCCCCAGGGCTTGAGTCTAAGTTCCCAGCTTCCCCTTCTGTCTTCTTTTGCTGACACCACCCCCACTGTCCTCTGGCCCTACCAGTCTCCTTGCTCTTCCAGGGCTCAGGGACCCAGTGACTGTCTTGTAGTTTGGATATGATGAGCCTCTCCCAGAACACCCTTCCCTCTAGGACTCCTTCCCAAGAGACCTCCCTGCCCTTCCTAGGCTGAGCTAGGGACCCTCATTTTGCTCCCACAGTTCCCTGGCTTTTGAACCCTAAATCACCCTGCATTGCAATTGTCAGGGCAGATTCTTCTTACTCGTTTCTATGCCCAGTGCCCAGCACAGGGCCGGGCATGCAGCAGGTCCTCAGCCAATGACAAGTGAATGAGGGATTTTACTAGCCACGTTACCAGGGTACACTCTATGCCAGGGAAGGTGTGTCCCTCAAAGCTGAGGTACGTAGGAGGCAGGAGATGGCTCTGAGCAGAGGGGGGAGGAAGCAGTGGGAGATTTGGGGCAGACATTTGATCCATCAGCCCCTCCCAGGGAGGCGGGGAGGCAGGTGAAGGGGGATGCTCCCAGCCCTAATCCTCAGCCCCACTGGGGAGAGAGGAATGCTCTCCTGGAGTCACAGAGACCTGGGAAGTGGGGAGGTCAGGCCCCGCCCTTGGGAAGTCCAGTAACTGCTCCTTGACTACTACTCAGGCTGGCTGGGGTTCTCCTATGGGAAAGCCTACCAGCCCCAGCCAGGTGCATACATCACCATTCCGGTAGCAGGGCAGGAGGTGGGGGTGGGGGTGGGGGGACACTTGTGCAAACACTGGAGAACTCAGGGAAGGGAGTGGGGCAGGGAAGAGGAGGGCTGAGGGGTGGATATCTCTGGTCTTCTTTCTCTTGAAATGCAGCAGAAGGGATGAAGATTTCTCCCTCCCCCTAGGATACCCTGAATATTCCCTCCCAGGCATCCCCTGCCCCAGCCTACCATGCCACCTGTGCTTGGGTGAGGTGCAAGCAGCCCAGAGAACACAGAGTTCTCCTCCATTCTTGCTCCCTTGTGACCCCTCCAGACTGGCACACTAGCTGCAGATTGGTAGGGGCCATGGTGAGAACTGCAAGGCCAGCGTGGGAGTGGTCAGTCATCAGGAGACAGGCCTGCTGCCCTCCTTACTGGTAGTAGAGAGGCCACTTAAAACACTTGGTACCTCTGCAAGCCTCTCTGCAAATGAACACAGATCAAGAGCTGTGCTGCCAGGTTCTTTTATTAGCCAAGTAGGACAAAGAACAGGTCACAACGTCACAGGAAGTAAGACCAACAGACAGACAGATACACGGAACAGAGCATCATGCTGCACTACTCAGGGGACAGGGCAGGGGGAAGGGAATCGTTTGAGTCTTGTTTCTTCAACTAACAGAATAAATAAATACAGTACACACAGTGTTTTCGCCATGGGCTGGCACAACCTCTAAGCACAAATGATCACAAAACAGCTGATTTGGAAAGCAGTCCGTATAGTCTGCCAGCCTTAGAGTTGAGGTGGGGACCCAGGTCCCCGGAACACACTCTGGGGGAGTGAGGCAACAGGAAAAGGGAGACCACAAATAGGAGTGAGCAGAGAGGAATTAGGGACAGTCAGGGATGGAGCCTCAGGCTCTCTCCCGCCCCTCAGGGTGGCCCCACAGGCCTGGGAGAGACTCCAGCATCAGTGTTAAGGGGTTGAGCCCACCCAAGCTAGTGCCCTCTGACTCCTTGAGGACACACAGGTTTACCCGCTGCCAGGACTCCCTCTGCTTGCTCTCCACCTGCTTTTAGTACTTGAGACTGGTGCCTTAAACTGACTTGAGATCCCACCTGTACCTTCCCTGACTTTTCTGGGCTTGTGGGTTTTGGTCAACTGAAGGAGAGAAGTATTAACAAAGAACTGGGATGAGCCTAGGGTGGGCCCAACCTCCTGGAGTCAGAATACGACTCCAGGTGGACTTGCCCCTTATGAGGTCAGGGGAAGCTTCCTGGAAGGGGTTTTTGATGTCTAAGGCTATTGGATTCCAAAACACATGTCATCAGTTGTACCCAAGAATAGTCCCCATGCCTGGTCCAGATGAGATCTGTGTTTATTTCAGAAACAGAACTTCCTGGAGCTGACCATGGGCACAAACCAAAAACCCTACCAAACCAAAAACCTCCTCTTGACTCTTCTTTGCCAACCTCCCATTCCTTGGCTTGGTCTCTCCTCCTCTGATACTCCCATGGCTTTGGATCCACTTTCCAAATTCCAGATCCCTGCAAGATACCTCCTGCTCAGAATCCCTCAATTTGCCTACCTTGGTACTTGTCACACGGAGGGAGGTAGGGCTCTTTAACCCAGATTCCAGACCCCTTAGGCCCACCTCTCATGAAGCCTTCCTGTGATATGATCCACTTAGATTCATCTTTCCTGCTTTGTTCAAATCATTTTCTGGGCCCAACCTACCACTCTTCTCACTTTTTCCTGTCCAAAGCCTTCTCCATCTGCCCCATTCCAGGCTGACCTCCCACAGATGATGGGCATTGACTGTTCTGCAAACCAATCTTACTAGGGCACCCACTGGAGGCAAGGGAGATAAGCCTTGGAACTTGACAAGTCTTTTAAACTTCTCTAAGCAGGGATGGAGGGGATCACAGAGGGTTTGGGATTACCACAAGGAATCTGTTCAACCCATCCCCCTCTCCCTGACCATGGGCATGGAAATGGGGTGACCCTACAGGCTAGCACTGGAACTCAAGAAAAGCAGAATCAAATCTAGATCATCCACTGCCATGTCTATCTAAAAAGAACAACAACAACAACAACAAAAATCCAGATCATCTGAAATAGAAGGGACCCATTACACTTACTGGGAAACTGAGGCAGTGTTCACAGAGAGGTTTATGCATACTATACTCATTGCTCCACAACAAGACAACAGTAATTTTCTAATTCACTTGTGCCTTCTGAGAGCTTTTCTGTGGTTGTTGTGGTTGTTATGTTAAATTTAACTAAGAACTTCTGCCAAATAAGGTTGTGAGCACAGAATGCAGAATGTTGGAACTGGATAGGATCTTCTGGGCCGTCTAATTCAGACAGGGAAATGGTACCAAAGAAGCTTCAGGCTTGGCCAAGCTCACATTGCTACTGTGAGAGGAAGTCAGCTGAGCTGAGTGGCCTGGCCATAAACAGGAACATACCTCACCATGCCAGTGACTAGCCAGGCAGAATTACTCTCATAGTTGGCTCTGGAACAGGCAGTCAACAGAAGCCTGACACTATGTGCTGTTGTGTGGTTTGCATTTCACTGTGACCAGGAGCCCATGTTCAACCTTCCTGGCTCAGATGTGCTCCGGGAAGAGCCAGAAACTGCTGAATGTGAAAATTCACATTGGGATTGCGGGAGAGGAGTACCAGCCCTGTTTTCTCTTAGGCACTCCTCCCCACCACCTCCTTCCAATCAGAGAAAATCTTACCAAAGAGGGTTCCAGAGCCCTGGTCAGACCTGGTGACCATTACTGACCCCAGCCTCGGGCCTTGGAGGATGCACAGGAAGGCATGCTTTCTGTTCTACTGCCCACCCAGCCTGCATCCTGCCTCTACTCCCTCCTGGATCTGGGTGGGACCTCCAAACTAAGAAGAGAAAATGGCTCTTGTAGCCTTCCAGATGTCAGACCTGGGGAGGAGGTTTGTGAGGCCAGGGCTACCTCCTGCCCGCCACTCCAGGGTCTCCAGTGAGGGCTCTATTGCCTATTTGGGCATGAAATAGAATTGTTGCCTAGAGAGGGTACAGGTCCGGGAAGGAGACAGGGGCAGGCAGGGAAGAAGTAAGGAGGGAGAAGAGGACGAGAGAGAGGGGAAGAAGCAGAATTACTAAAACTAAAAAGGCCACAAGACACAGCTTGAGAACTGAGGACACCAACACAGCCAGCACCAGGGGGGACAGACATGAGAGGGAGACCAGAGTGGGCAAGACAGAGGGGCAGGGACAGAGAGATCAAGGGAGCTTCCAAGGAAGGGAGAGAAGAGGAAGGCTGGAGTGAGTGCAGAAGCTGTAGGTGGAGGCAGGGGTGGCAGTGGAGAAGAGATAGGAGGGGACAGGGGACCTGGGGCAGGCAGTGCCTGAAAATATAGCTTTATATATTTATATTTATATCTCACATTCCACACATCAACTGACTAGGGGGCAGAAGGGGAGGGAAGGGAAGGAGGAGGCCATACTGAGAAGGGGATCTAGCCAGCCTCTCACAGCCTCCCCATTTGGCCTCCATGGGGTCCAAGCAGGGCCATGCAGAGGGATGTAGTTTTCACCTGGGGCTCTGAGGAAGGGGGACAGGGAGAGACCTCCAGACCCCAGGATTCCTGGGCTCCCAAAATTAAATCCTAGAGAGCCTTCTGGGAATAACCATGGGGCTGGGAAGGAGGCACCCAAGACCCCTGGCTGGGTGGGAGGCCGGACAGTCAGTTGGGCAGCGTATCGAGTCCCAGGGAGGCCGCGTGCTGCTTGGCCCTCAGCCGCAGGTTCTCGATACTTGTGGTTTTACTGTTCAGGGCAGCCGAGGCAGGTGCCAGGCCTGCTGGGGGCGCAGGCAGCAGTGGGGATCCCCACACACCCTGGTGGGCAGCAGCGGCTGCTGACAGGGACTGGTAGTAGGACTGGCAGTGTAGTGAGCCCAGCGGGGCCATGTTGACGCCCAGGTAGGGCACTGCAGCAGCGGCGGCAGCAGCAGCGGCAGGGGCTGGGCCCCCCACTTCAAACGATGAGTAGTGCACCAGGTTGTTAGTGGCCGCCATGTGCTGGCGAAACTGCTCCTGCAGACGGAAGAGGCTCAGCGGGGAGGAGGAGTAGGAGTGGGAGGGGCCAAGAAGGCCACCCCCTGGGGCTGCAGGAGCTATGGCCAGGCTGCCTGGGGAATCTGCAAGCAGAGAACCAAGAACCAAGTACTCAGGACCGGGCACTGGCCTGACAGCAGGGGTTCCCTTGCTTCCTATCCCTTAGCACTAGCGAAACAGGCTTTAGCTGAAACTATATCCATCCCATCTGAACCAGAGCATCCCCAGAAATGTGGCTCAGAACCCTGAAAGGAAGGAACCTGAGGAATCTCCAGGGTTCCAGCCCAGGTTCCCAAGCCTGAATCCTTGGGGAGCCCCTGGCTCCTCCTTCCCTCCTGTCCTCAGCTCCCATCCCCTCCTGCCAGGGCTCAGCTCACAGTCTCTAGGGTCTCCCTGCCTGGGCTTAGAATCTGTGTCTGAGATCTGCCTCAGGCCAGAGCTCTGTTCCTGCACAAACATGGTTAGGGACAGGAGGCTTCAGCCCAGGGCAGCTCTGTGGGAAAGAGATGGGAAGGGGTTACCCAGCCCTGGAAAGATCCATCCTACAGACCCTCTCAGCAGGTGCCCCTTCCACAAGGGTCCCTAAGGAACCAGACCTCTGAGCTGAAAATACATGGAGCCAAGGCCCAAGGAAAGAGGGAATCTGGGGAGAGGTCTCTGCTGCATGTGGGAATCCTGGTACCCAGATGGTATTCACCCAGTATACACTAGCGCATCTGTCCTAGTTGTTGAAATATTAGAGTACTCCAAATGGTTGATAATTTTTGCCCTGGGCTTCTGCGTGCTTCTCCCTGGCTCCCAGCCCCTCCCCCCAAATCATCTAGACCTTTCCATGACTCCGCAACTAAACAGTGAACATCTGGCACAGGCCTGCTATGGTCATGCCCCTGAGTGCTAGTTGTTGACTGTCCCCTACTCTGACACATGTCACATACTCAAGCCCCTGTCAGGCTGCACCTGCCTGTTCTGCCTGAGCCGGGGCCCCAGCATGACAGCAGCATCTCCCAAGCCTCACCTGCCTTGGGGCTGCCCCTCTTGCAGCCCAGCCCCTTGCTCTCAGCCCCAGGGCTCTTCTCAGCTTTGGGATCTTCGGTCCCAGCCCTGGGGTCTTCCTCACGGTCCGGCTGGTCCTCAGGGGCTGACTCACTGGCCGACTGCTCAGACAGGCTCAGGTGAAGCTCAGCAGGGGCATCGCCACCTGGCAGGCTGGAGGGCTGGTCCATCTCCAGCTGGGTGTCTGGGGTTGGAGCCTCTGTCTTGCCTTCCCCATGGGAGCCCTCAGCCTCCTTCTGCTTCTGGAGCTGTTCTTTCTGCAGGCTGCGCTGCTTCTTGCGAAACTTGGCCCTGCGGTTCTTGAACCACACCTGGGGACAGGCAGAGGAGCAGTCAGAGGCGAGGAGAAAAGAAATGGGGTCGTTGTGGAGCAGGGTGCTCTGGGGAGGATGGAATAACTCTGCCTCCACCTCTAGGAAACCCACCCCCTCCATCCCTTCCAAATTGCCCCTCCTATCAACTAAGCCATCAGCGGAGGTAGCAGCTGCACTTCGTCACCGTCACCGACTGAGCAAACGCTGGCTCCTGGACAACAAGGAGCCAGACAGATGAGCTAGAGCTTATCTGTAAGAACTAGTTTGGGGAGCTGGGCCCTACCTGCACCCGGGCCTCAGGCAGGTTGGTGCACATGGCCAGCCTCTCACGCATCACCACATCTGGGTAATGAGTCTTCTGGAAGGTCTTTTCCAGGGCCTCCAACTGCTGAGCCGTGAACGCTGTGCGGCTGCGTCGCTGTTTGCGGTGCTGGGAGCCATAGCGGGCCTCCAAGATGATGTCTTGAAATGTACAGCCGTTGGAGGGCAAGGAGAGGGGGCCCATTTAATTATGGGAAATAGGTTTTGAATCTTAGCCTTCTCTGACCCACTCCAGCTGCAGTGATGCAGGCATCTGTCAGAGCTGGATGCTGGCCCTTTGCCCTTGGAAATCACCCATCCCCTTTCCACTGGCTAAATTTTCAAAATCTCTCCATCCCATTATCTACTATGAGGACCACAGAGATCAACTCAGCTCCAAGAATGGCTGTTAGGCATGTGATTGGACAGGGTCTTCCTTATCTGGCTGGTATTGGGGATGGGTAGATATGTATTGTCCTAAGATTCTTTTTTTTTTAATTTATTTATTATTTTTTAGTTTTCGGCGGACACAACATCTTTGTATGTGGTGCTGAGGATTGAACCCGGGCCGCACGCATGCAAGGCGAGCAGGCTACCGCTTGAGCCACATCCCCAGCCCCCTGTCCTAAGATTCTTAAAGTCTCAGACTACTATAATATTTTGAAATTACATAATGCTAATAATCTAAGAATCCACACCACAGTGGTTCTACTACCTATGGTCCTTAAATTCTGGATACTAAGGCTTCTGTGGCATCAGAGCATGAGAAGCCAGGCCATGAGCTGGTACTCACCTCGAGGTCTAGTTAAGGAATCTCACTGGGCAAGAACTCCATTCTCTATCCTCTGCATCAAATCTCATCTTCCAGGGGACCCATTTGTCTCTGACGGCAGGACCAGAGGTTCCTGCTCTTACTTTCCTGAACAGTCAGCCTGGTCTGGCAGGGCCCCAAGAGTTCGATAAAGGCCTGTTACACCCACTCTTCACCCTTCTGGCTGCCTCCTCAGGGACAGGAAGACCAAGATACTGTGCTCCAACATCATGTTCTATGGTCCTGCTCACATGTCTGGTTCACAAAAACTACCCAGGATAGTGTCTGCCTGAGGCTGGTGGTGTCTAGCCTCCAGCCTTCTGCTTAACTAGAGCCTCTCCCTACTTACTGTCTCCCATCCCACCAAGGTGGATCCTGCCCTGTCTATGCTGAAAGGAGCCTGAGTTGTCTCTACCTCTGCACAGGGCTGCAGAGTTCCACCCCTGGGGAGTCATTCACAACATCCTAAGTGGGAATGAGACAACCAAGTGTCCAGGAAGCCCCAGATTTGGGGATGTTACTTCCATTTAAAGGGAGTCCAAACCCTTACAAATCAGCCCTTTCCTAGACTAAGCCCTAAACTCATGCTGGTCATCTTAGGGCACCAGAGGGGTGAGGACTGTTTAGTCACCCCCACCCTGGTAAGCGAACAACAGTACAAAGGGTAGGGTGGTCGCAGGGGAGGCCAGGCTTTCTATACCACAGGCAGAACTCCCCACTAGAAGGAGCAGCCCCTACCAACAGACATGAGCCATTCTCCCTGACTCCTTTTCCCTAAGCTCTGGCCCTTGGGTCCCAGAACACTGTCAGGAGCTGAAGTTACCACCAGGTTGAACAGGGAATTCACTCCAAGCAGCCATAGCAGGGGCAAGACTACACCCAGCATCCCCATGCTGAGCACTGATGCCCCATGATGATCTAGAGAAGGGGTCTCCATTTTATCCTGAGTCCTGCCTGAAGGCCTGGTAGGGTCTAAAGAAGTAGGCTGGCCACCACCACATCCTCCCTGCCAGGCTGGCACCCCTACCTGGGCAGGGTCCTCAGACCCCATCCCATTCTGTGCCTTGACTCCTGCTGCTCCTCCCTCCTTGCGGTGCCATTGTTTGTTTGTTTGTTTTTATTTTTTGTCAGTGCCAGGGATCAAACCCAGGGACTCCTGCATGCTAGGCAAGTGCTCTAGCACTGAGCAGCATCCCCACCCATCTTTGCTGTGCTTTTAGAGGCCTGGTGCCTGCCCCATGGTCTGCAGAAAGCCCTGACTGCACTGGCAGGTCCTGCAGCTCTGAGCTGCCCACCATTCACTCCTGTACTCCTCTATCATACTGTCTCATGGCCTATGGGCACCTGCTCTCCTTAGGAATTCCCTAAAGTCCCTGAGGACTGCCTGGCACAGGCCTAGGCCCACATGGATTCAACAAAGTTTGGCCTGAGACAGGGTGGGGTGGGTGACATTGCCTCCCAAGAAATCAAGCTCCTCACCTATGTCATTGAATCCTTCCTCTACCCACTGAAAGGCAATCGATCGAGGCAACGATCAATTGAAGCAGGAATTGGGGGCAGATAGACTGTAGCTCCCTCCTGGTACTTCCCTTGGGTATTAGATACTAAAGACTTCTGAGCATGGCTGAGACTCTGCTGAACACCCTGTGTGTGTTATCTCAATTACCTCTCAGCCATCCTATGGGATGGGCACTGCTACTATCCCAGGGGAAACTGAGTCTCAGAGAACAGAAGTGAACAGGAAGACCCTGCATTGACTGCAAGCTCTCCTTCCACAGCTCTCGTGTTCCAACCCCACTCATGAGTCTGAGTCTCAGTCTCCTTACACACAAAATGGAAATAATAATCTGTCTTCATGGGGATGGAACATTTTGAGAGAGAGAGAGAGAGAGAGAGAGAGAAGAGAGAGAGAGAGAGAGAAGGAGGACTTCACACAGCAGCTGGCACATACATGGCATTCACACCATGGAGCTATTATTACTTATTACTCCCTGTGCCTATAGTTTCCTCCTGGGGCACTCTAGCCCTCTTTCAGCTACTTCAGCTGCTTTTCAGCTATTCTGGACTAGTCCAGTACCGTCTACCTTGGTTTCTTCATCTTCAAGTTAGCTAATGGCTACCTCTTGCACAGGCTTGTCATGGGATTTTCAAGGCACAGCCAGCACCAGGGTCCAGCACAGTGTGGGCAAATGGGCTGCACTGCGTATACAGGCACAGATTTTTGTTTAAGTGAGAATAACACCCAGATTTTGAATTATCTCTGCCACATGACCTGGGGCTCTTGGTGTTTTGTTTTGTGTGTGGTGGGGGTTGTTTTGTTTTGGCATTGGAGATTGAACCCAGGAGCATTCTATCTCTTAGCTACATCCCCCGCACTGTTTTTCTTTTCAATGTGTTTTTTCAACACAATACTTTTATTTTACTTATTTTTTATGTGATGCTGAGGTTCAAACCCTGTGCCTCACACATGCTAGACGAGCACTCTACCACTGAGCTACAAACCCAGCCCCCAGCACTTTTTATTTTATTTTGGGAGATAGGGTCTTGCTGAGTTACTCAGGTTGGCTTCAAATTTGCAATCCTCCTGCCTCAGTCTCCCCAGTAGCTGGGATTACAACCTGAACCACCATGTCGGCTTGTGACCTGGAGCTTTGTGAGCCAACCAGAATAGGCTTTCCCAATCCTCCTCTCTTTGTCTTCCAGAGACTCCTCCTCAAGGCCACGGGGCCCTAACCCCATGGTCCTGTCTCCAGGGCCCTTACCAGCCAGGCGCTCAGCCAGCGTAAGAGCGTGCACCGATGGCCGGTAGTCTGGGGCATGCTGGGCTTGCTGGGCTGCCTGCTGGTGCAGATTGTACATGGCGCTGAGTGAGTTCATAGCGTGCAGCGAGTAGCCGTTCACCCCATAGTGCTGCATAATGACATCCGCCTGCAGATAAGGGAGAGGGAGAGAGGACATGAGACAGAGCCATTAGATACTACCTTGGGACAGAACCCATCCACAGTCCACAGCCTGGATGCTCAGGTCACCCCTAAGAGCTTTTGCCTTCCCATCAGAAAGTGGCCTGTCTTGCCCACGCAAGGGGTCCAGCACTTACTCCTTCATTTATCCACTCTTTCAGTGATTCATCCAGCAGGACACCAGAATAGAATTCAATACCCTGGGCTCTAAAATCAGTCTGCCTGGGCTGGAGTCTCAAGCCTGCCACTTAGGGACATTGTAACTTTGGGGAAGTCATTAAAGTTCTCTGACCCTCAGTTTACCCATCTGCAAGATGGGATTAACAATAGTACCAATCTTCTGGGGTTCCTGTAAGGATTAAGAGAAGCCTTTTCAACAGGGCCTGTTGTACTGTATGTGCTCAAAAATGTTAGTCTTGGCAGGGCGCAATGGCACATGCCTGTAATCCCAGCAGCTCAAGAGGCGGAGGCAGGAGGATCATGAATTCAAAGCCAGCCTCAGCAATTTAGCAAGATACTAAGCAACTCAGTGAGACCCTGTCTCTAAATAAAATAGGGCTGGGATGTGTCTCAGTGACCAGTACTCACCCCCCCAAAAAATTAGTCTTTGTGATTTCCCAATCCATTTGCTACTTTATGCAACCATCTCTCTGTTCAATTACTCTTACTCATTTCTACATTCACTGATTCACTCACACACAAATTTATTCAACTGACACCCATGATGGCCCACTGGAGCCAAGTTCAGAGCTGAATTTTCACTGAGGCATTCACTCTAATGAGATAATGGACTAAAACACTAATGTGTGGGGTTAGGGATGTGGCTCAGTGGTAAAGCACTTCCCTAGCATGCTCAGGCCCTGGGCTCAATCCCTGGTATAGGTGGTGGGGGGATCCTTAATGTGCTGCACAGACTTAAGAACACAATTGATATGATTGTTATATATTCATTGTCATTACCTCTTTTCTCCTCACCAAATCCCCAAGAAGTAAGCCTGCCAAGAACAATAAACCCCATTTGCAAGATGAGTCTACTGAGGCTCAGAGAAAGAACAGTGACATGTTAAGATCACACAGCCAGTCCAAGGACTACCCATCCACATTGAGTCAGACTCATTTTTTTTGTGGCCATTACCCACCACCTCCCCCCGCAAAAAATCATCCATTCATTGAAGAACATATCCTTCCTGCTGAAATGTCCTGGTGTCCTGGTTCAGTACAAGGCCTCCCAGGTCCCATCAGCCCCAGATCCCTCTGAACATTTGTGATCCTCATCTGAGCACCCACCTGCCCCCACATCATCCTAATATATCATTTTTGGAATGTGATCCTATGTCTGCAGCCACCCAAAAATACATTGGAGTTGCCTATTTCTGGGAGGTAGAAGGAGAAGACTAGGGTAATGGCAGGTCCATTTGATTAGAGAAAGAATCTGTCCAGGTGTCTCAGCTCCCCACCCTCACTGAAGTAGACACAGGTATATATAACCAAACATCCGCAGCATGCACACAAACACACCCAGTCACAGACGAGCACACATGTTTCCTGCACAAACATGCATATGTAGACGTTGTTGGCCATACATTCACAGGAGCTCTCCTTCTCACTCCCACAAATGTATCATCATTACCCCCATAGTTCCGCATTCTCACCGATGCCTAATCGGGCAGCAGATACATCTATACACAACCATCACACCATACACATTCATATATACCCCTATTCATTCAACAAATATTTATTAAGCACCCACCTACCAAGTGCCGAAGTCCCTAACTTTATGGAATTTACATTCCAGGGAAGAAGGATGCATAACAAAGAAAAATGTATGTACTGACATCCGACAGGAATAAGTGCTCTGAAATAAATTAAGGCAGGGAAAGAGAATGAGGAGCGGGAAAGGAGAGATTATTTTAGAACAAGTGGTTGGGGAAGGGCTCTCTGATGTTTGAGCAGAAACTTGAAGTAAGCCGTGAGGAGCTCTGGAGGAAAGGCTTTCCAGGCAAAAGGGACAGCGAGGACGAAACCATAAACAAGCCTGTGTGTGCCGAACAGTCAGAAACCAGCGTGGCTGTGGCATGGTGAGGGGAGAGAATAGAGCAGATGAGGCTGGAGAGGAGGGCCCCTTGCTAGAGGGCTTGGTTACCATTTATAAGGAGTTTGGATTTTATCCTGAGTGTGTTGGGAAGCCCACTGGGGGTTCTGAACAGGGGATTAACACATATGATCTGTTTTTAAAAGCGCACTTTGGCTGCTGTATGAATAGACTGCGGGGAGGAAAGGAGAAAAGTGGAGGGACCAAGCCAGCAGGCTGCTGCAGAAGCCTGGCTAATGACCACGCTGCCCTCCCTGCAGTGCAATGGGAGTGGTGAGAAAAGGTCAGGTTCCGGACATAGTTTGGAAGTAGCGTAGATGTGATTGCTGGTAAGTTAGTTGCACAATATGAAGAAAAGATGGCAAAAAAAGAACAACTCATGTTTTTGACCAGAGCCACTGTGTGAATTGGGGTCTTTTCCCAAATTAGAAGCATTGAGGAAAAAGCAGATATGGAAAGGGAAAGAAAGAAAAAGCAAGGTTTTGAGGGGAACATGTCAAGTTTGAAATATGAATCCAGCGTTTCAGTATGGGTATGAGTCGGGAACTGACAGATTTGGAGATTTGAGTCTACACCCACACCTGCCACCTTCCAACGACATTCACTTACAGAAGCCCCACTGTATTTACCAAAAACATAATCCAAGAGGCAGAAGGCAAACAAAGCAGATACAAATGATGATATAAAGCATTTTAACATATGTATAACAGACTGTACTATAAACAAAGCTAAAAGGCAAATCTGGAAAAAAATGTACCACGTCTATGACATAGCAAAACTAATTAAAACCAGAGAAAAAGAGATAGAGAGAGAGAGAGAGAGAGAGAGAGAGAGAGAGAAGCATAATACTAAGTACGGTGTCACATGCCTGTAGTCCCAGCAGCTCAGGAGTCTGAAGCAGCAGGATCACAAGTTCAAGGACAGCCTAGGCAAGTTAGTAAGACCTTATCTCAATATAAAAATAAAAAGGGATGGGTATGTAGCTCAGAGGTAGAGCACCCCTGGGTTCAATTCTCCATACCGCCATAAAAAGAAAAAAAGGAACACAAATAACAACTTAAAAATAATACACATAAGGGCTGGGGTTGTAGCTCAGTGGTAGGATGCTCGTCTAGCACTTGTGAGGTACTTGTTTAGATCCTCAGAACTGAATAAAAATAAATAATAACATCAAGGTATTGTGTTCATCTACAACTCAAAATATTTTTAAAACTCATTTAAAAAGAATATACTTAATATATGAAGAGCTCTAGTATAGAAATCAAAAGATGGTCATCTTAATAAAAGATGGGCTAAGTTGATGAAGAAACAACTCATTAAGGAAAAAAACAAATAGCCAATTGACAAATGACAAAAAGCTCCTCTTTACTTATAACCAAAGAAAGAAGAATAGAAATAGTAAGATTTTTTTTTCACTAATCAAATTAGTAAATGTGAAGAACACCTACTACCCAAAGTTATCTATGGGAGTGAAAAGTAGTCTTTTTCCTACCTTGCTGATGAAAGAGCTCTTTATTCCCCGAATGAAAGCCTCCAGAGAGTGTATCATCTTTGACTTAACAATTCCACTTCAAGACGTTTATCCCTCAAGCATGCAGAGATATGTGCATAGGAATATTTTTCACATCACTGCTTACAAATGGAAAACAACTGGAAAGCTAACTCTCCATCAGGAGAGGATTAGTTAATAAATGAGGGGACAGTCGTGTCCACGATGGAATATGGTGGTATAGTTGAAAACGATGATATGTATATGCTGATATTCACAGTATAATGTTGAATCAAAGAGATAGGTAACAAAACAGTGTGCATGATGCCATCTCATTTTTGTAATGTGTGAATAAAAATGCATGGGAAAAGTCTGAAAGGTTGTACCTTGAAATGTTAACAGAGGTTATCTCTGGGAGATAACCTATAGAGGTGATTTTCATATCTATATTCTTTCTTTCTTTCCTTTTTTGCAGGGAGGGTAGATGAAGGGTTTTCTGTGTGTTGCAATGAATGTGGGTATGGAGCCAGGCTCCAAAAGGTGTCACAAGCTTCAGGTGAGGAAGGGGAAACAGAATTTAGAAGTAATTTTATCCATCCCCTCCCCTAGCCCTGTGGCTACAATGCCCCTCCCCCACCAAACTCAGGCCTTGTTGTTTTAATGTGGTAACATTTTAATTGACTTAATGATTGCTGATCACACAGTTTTTGACACACAAGACTTCTTTATTAACCAAAGCCAGAGAGAAACCTTGCACAGCCTCATGAGCATCAAGCATCGCAGCACCCTGAAGACCTTCCCAGTCTGGATTCCCCCCAACCTCTCCCTCTGGCCTGAAGCTCTCCCTCTCCCTAGCACCTAGCAATAACAAACTACCTGGCCCTTCTTGTCACCTCCATGCCTTTCTCCTGTTGGGCCCTTGACCTGAGACACTTTTCTCCTTCCTTCCTTCCCTTCACCTCACAAAATCCTTCCTCTTCAGAAGGCCCCTCCTTTCAGGATGCCTCCTCAGAAAAGAGATGCCGGCCCACACCTGTAATCCCAGCAGCTCAGGAGGCTGAAGCAGGAAGATCATGAGTTCAAAACCATCCTCAGCAACTTAGCTAGGCCCCAAGCAACTCAGTGAGACCCTGTCTCTAAATAAAATACAAAAAAGGGCTGGGGGCAGGTGGAGTTATGGCTCAGTGGTACAGCGCTTGCCTAGCATGTGTGAGGCCCTGGGTTCAATCCTCAGCACCACATAAAAATAAATAATAAAACAAAGGTATTGTGTCCAACTACAACTAAAAAAAAAATTTTAAAAAGTGTGGTGTGGGTGCTGGGGATGTGGTTCAATGGTTAAGTGCCCCTGGGTTTAATCCCTGGTACAAAAAAAAAAAAAAAA